CCTATTGACGTAAGATTTTTTTGCTTTCCCCATTGGCAGATTATTTTGCTTGTTTTAAGGAAAAACTCACTTAATATTGGCATATTATTTCTCAAAACAAGACAATATGTTGTGCTTGTGTAGAAAATTCTTCTTGATTTAGGAATTTTTAGATATTTGGACTAGAAACAAGACAAAAAATCTAAGTAAGAAAAGCATTTTTTGCAGTGCACTGAACTGAGTTAAACTGAACTGAACTTAAACTCTGAAAACTGAACTACACAGTTTCAATTTACTATGATCTTTTATGTGAAGCGGCTTTGACACAATCTATATTGTAAAAGCGCTATACAAATAAAGGTGAATTTCAGGATGGGAGTGAGGTTTAGCGGGTGAGTGTTCGGAGGCCAATTAGCGAAGTGCTATGCAGGTATACCTCATTTCTCTGACCTTAAAAGGTGTTCTAGTAACAGACACTAGAGCCCATAGTCTTTAGCGTCCTATAGAGCAACCAACTCCCAAATAAAAAATCACCGGCTCGATCCCTGCTCAGAGTGGGCTGAGAGCAGTATGACCAGTAAGTAACATGTGGGGGCTCGTCCAAGATGGGAGTGGGGTTTAGGGTGTGAGTGTAGTAGAGGCCAGTTAGCAAAGTGCTACGAAGTTAAACCTCAGTCCTCTGAGCTCTAAACGTGTTCTAGCAACATACTTTAAAGCCCATAGTCTTTAGCCACTATGTTAGAGCAACCAGCTCCCAAATAAAGAATCACCGGTTCGATGCCAGCTCAGAGCGGGTTGGGTGCAGTATGACCGGTGGGTCACATTTATAATATATTTCTTATGTGCATTCAGTCAGAAACATATCTAGATAAAAAGTGTGAAAATATTGTGGATTATTTGTTCCTTTTTCAGTGAAAAACAATTATGCGTATACCCTAAATAAAATAATTGAATAATAAGATAACAAAACTATAAATATAATCACTTCAATATAATTTTTATGTTTATTTAGTGTTTTTGTGTATAATTTATTATTATTTCTTATAAATAAAAGTCGTATTTCAAAGAAAAAAATTCAAATGATAAATGTATGAATATTTATTAAATAATACAGCAATAATAATTCAATGCACAAATGATTTTAATTGTACAAATCACTATTTTACACAATGGCTGAATCCTTTTTCCACTCTTCACTTTGCACTAAAAGTAACAGAAGACGAATGTACAGAAAAACATGAACAGAGGACAGAAAACACCAAGAGGACAGAAAATGTAGAAATGGCTTCATGTGTCTCTACAATGAGTCTTTACCTAATGGAAAAGGGAAGTAAAAGATGTCCGTTTTTACCTTGGGAAGACCCACCTGGAAAAACTCGGCTATGGTGGCTACATGACTGGCACAGGCGCACTTCCGGGCGTCGGGAACATCTTCACCAACCTAAACACACAAACACGGCTTTTATTGCACAATACAGGAGCAGAGTGTATGAAATAAAACACACACTTCAGAGTTCAGGGTCTAATTGTCTCCGTTTGTTACAAACTCCCACAGCATTCAGAAAAGCAGAAACCCGTAATCACATCCTTAGAGCTGTAATACTAAGGTGAATTTCCTGCTCTGATCAGGATCCATTCATAACAACAAAGCTCACAGAATACATTATAACTGCTTTGAATAGCACAAAAACATGCTTGTGATTAAAGGCGCATGTATGAGTGTAATGATGGTGTCTTGAGTCTTTCATGTGAGTTGTGTGGTAGTTCGCTTTTTTTGTGAGTATACTTTCAAAATAAATTGTCTAGATGATTTCTTTAAGGACATTTTAACCACCCAGCAATACTTTCAATTGAGATTTTTTTTAATGGTACTAAATTCCCATTAAATTCTCATTGCTGTAACAAAGGACCATTTTTATGAAATAAAAGTTTTAAATATTTGTGTAAACTTCTAAAAAGAGTAGGAAATTAAATATACACTGTAAAAAGGCTTGGTTCTGCACACTTTCTTCCTGTTGTCCCAAAACTAATCAATTAAGTTAACTTAATTGTTTTTGAATATTTAAGGAGACTAAACATAAAACAGTTAAGTTGCCCCCGCCAACAAAAATCTAAAATAAAAAATTAAGAATTGCGTTGTTTCAACTCATTTTAAATAAATACACTGTAAAAAACATTGACTCAACTTACAATTTTAAGGCATCAAACTTTTGGACATTCAGGACTTTACTCATTGAGTCAAGTGCAGTAATTGGATTGAAAGTTGAGTCAACTCAAAAATGTCCTGAAGTTTGTTGCCTTAAAATTTAAAGTTGAGTCAAGTTTATTTAAGTGTAATTTGAACAAGCAGAAAAAGATTAGTTTTGAGTGTATTTTTAAATAATTAATTAAGGTCAAAATGTTTCATAACTATTGTTTGTTTTTACTTTTGATTTTGTTTGTTAACTTTGCTACTTTTGACATTGTATCTCATTTTTTTTCACTTTACTGTAACAAAAAAAAAAAAATAAATAAAATCATATTGTGTGTAAAACAACTGCCTTAACTAAAAGCAAGCAAATTTCCACTAAAGGATGATACAAAAAAATCTACAAATGAGCTTAAAATCCTGCCTGGGGGCGTATTTAATTAAGATAATATTTTCCTAAAAAACAAACAAACACTATATATATAATCAATCTAATACATGTGTGTGTCTGTGTGTTTATATATTACATTTAAATTATTATTACATATAAATAATTTACATATAAATTATTGTTTTATCTCAAATCAAATCTCAAGTAATAAATTAAGTTTAGTTTTCTCTTTTGATTCTGCACCGTATGGGATTCTCATTAATGTAGCAAAACAAAGAAAAACATTGTGTTGGTTTGTTATTTTAGTTATTTTTTAACAAATACCTGCCTTAAAAATAAAATGTGATTTTATTAATTTTATTATTTGTTTAAAAACTAAATTTTAGACAATTTATTCATTCCAATCAATTCCCACATAATTCATTCATTCAATTTCCTTCGGCTTATTCCCTTTATTAATCCAGGGTCGCCACAGCGGAATGAACCGCCAACTAATCCAGCGCGTTTTTACACAGCGGATGCCCTTCCAGCCACAACCCATCTTTGGGAAACACACACACACACACACACACACACACACACACACACACACGCATACACACGCACACACACTCAATTTAGCCTACCCAATTCACCTGTACTGCATGTCTTTGGATTGTGGCGGAAACCGGAGCAGCCGGAGGAAACGCATACCTTCTTGCTGTGAGGCAACAACCACTACCTACTGCGCCACTGCGTCGCCCCTTTTCACATAATTGTTTAGAATTAGTTTATATGATGACTAACATTAGCACTTACTATTTATCCTTTTCCTGTTTTTTCTGTTTGTCTGATTAAATAAAATACAAATAAAAAAAATTCGAAACAAACTAAGGGGCTGTTCACAAAGAACACATTTTTCCTTTCCAATGGGCCACATTTAGATGGATGTGTTTGTGTTTGAGTTTGAACTTCAACTTTCACAAACTGCGCAGCTCATTACTGTCAGTTCCACAGCAGTAGACCGATCAGTAGAACTCAAAGGCGGGATTCCATAGCAAGTTTTATTGAAAGTTTCGGTTTATAGGTGCGCTGTGTCCGGACACCCTCTTTGTGCTGCCAATTTTTTTTAACCATTCCTAACCATTGAGTCTCGCATTTTTAGAAGCAAAGACGCAACAGTTTGGAATGGTTTGAAAAATAAAATGCAGCATAAAGCACAATAGGGTCCGGATACAGTCACTAAGCAAACTTTTAAAGAAACTTGCAAAGAAACCCTGTCTCTGAGTTCTTCGGGTACATTTTTATATGGCTGCTCACTGGTGACTTGAAGTGCTTCTTATTATCCTAATTTGTATGCTGCTTTGGATAGAAGTATTTGCATCTGCTAAATGACTAAATGTAAATGTAATGTAAACACTGGATGATGTGATAACAATGCAATTTTAACTATTAGATCAAACCTGAAAATTAATTAACAAAACAAATCAGTTGCAGAGTTGAAGCACATGTGGAGGCTTTTTGCCTTTTCCTCATAATTCAAAAGTTCACACTTAGATATTGCTTGATAATATTAGCAAGTTTGGCATGCTGCACCAAAAGAGAACCATGAGCTCAGAGATAATTGAGGCCAGGGCACCCGCCTGGTCAATGGAGGAAAAAGCAGATGGGGGATTCTTCAAAAAACGAATATACTGTAAGGGAGTAATGCTAGACAGGATATTTATAGTGAGTTTGGAATAATCTGATAGGCTTGCGGATGATTAGAGACCGCCCGTGATCAATCATATCATGTGCTTCTCTCGATTAAGCTGTGGTCACACTGCTCTTTTCGCCCCTTAGACTGCCATTCATACACTTGCGAATGACTCAGATCAGAAATGCAAGGTCGTGTGACATGTTTCAAAGTTCACTGCGTTGCACAGTTCAAGCTTGGAGAACTCTGACCTGTGAAATCACATCACTTGACTGTGTGAGACCAATCGAGGGTCAAAACATGACCTCTCTTGTTTAATCCTGCCCCTTTTTTGCAGCACCGTACAACAGAATTTTGCATGCTCAAACTCTAGTGTGACCGCAGCATAAGTTTGTGAAACTTCACTTAATGGCTTCTAAGTAAGAGAACTGAGTGATTTTGCCATCATTTTTACTTAAAATTAAGGGCTCTATTTTGTCCATGCGCAGAACGCAAAACACGGGGCACAAACGCTTTCAGGGCGTGTCAAAACGCGTTTTTGCTAATTTAAGGACGGGAAAACCTGCTTTGCGCCAAGGCATGGTCTAAAAGGGTTGAGTTTATTTTCTTAATGAGTTATAGGTGTGTTTTGAGAATAAACCAATTAGAGTCTCATCTCCCATTCCCTTTAAGAGCCAGCTGCATCGCGCCAAGAGCGCATTCCCTATTTACAGGACGAAAAGTAAGTCTAAGTGGAAAAACTGAGCATTTCACTAGCAAACAGTTAACAGTTTTTTTAACAGAAAACTGTTAAACAGAGCATCTACTGCGTGAGAATGAGAGATAATAGATCACTTTCACATTCACTCTTGGATAGGGAAACCTTTACGCACAGACATCAATTAGTCTATAAATAATTAATTTTGTTTGTTAAGCGTAAATATTCGTTTCAAAACTATTTCTAAATTCAGTTCTAATTTCCAGCAAACTAATAAATGAACAATAATAATGAAGTGTGCTCAAAAACCTGAGTTATATCCTAAAACACATGCTGTGCCCCATATGGTCTAAAACCTGACAGGTGGGCAAATCTAAGCTTGTTTTTAATAAAACAAATATAAATATGGATATAATAAATAATACTGCTAATAATAATAACATTATACAAAAGCAAATTGTTATGAATGAACTAAAAAAGCCTACCGAGATGAAGAAGACATAAAAGCAGTGGTTTTTCATATTTATGTACGCTAGAAAATAATATGTTTTGTAATATTTTAAACCTTTATATTTATATCCTATATCTATTCTTATTATATCCTATATATATCCTTAATATTTAATTTTTTTCATATGTAAAGATATTTGCCTATTGCTCTCTTGTGGGTATTAAGCAGTGTGTAAACGAGGCGCAGTTTAGACTAGGTTTGTTTTGATCTAATGAAAAATCTATTATAGTTTCTTAAAATAGCAACGCGCCAGCGGTGCGCCTAAGAACGCCTTCCTTTTTAGACCAGAAAGCCTATGGGCGCACAAATGAGCGCAAATGCATTTGCTATTTAAACAGCGTAGCGCAACGCCTCAAAACGACTCTTGCGCCAAGCTGAAACTAGCAAAAGACTATTGCGCCGTGCCTTGCAGATTCTGCGCCGGGTGTATGATAGGGCCCTAAGATTAAAATCACTGACTTTTACACTGAACACTATCATCGCCACAGACCATCTTCTAATCTAATGTTGGATGTCTAACAAAGTACCAATTTCATAACTACTAATTGAACATTGAGTGGGATAAATATATAAATTACATCCCACAACCACCATCACAAACACACATTTCCTGAAGAAAAAAGCACGTCTAAATTAACTTTAATTTAAGTCTGTGGTTTTATGTTGACCCGTCTGTCTCTGTCCACCTCTAGAGCTGAAGTGTCTTTGCTAAAGGCTTGTTAAAGTCAGTTGTGTGTGTGTGTGTGTGTGTGTGTATTTTCTCACCCAGTTGATGAGGATGTAGCGCGGCAGAGCTGATGTGGCATCCTTCAGGCTGCAGAAACCATACATGATCCTGGTGTTATCAAAGGTCACTGCGATTTCTGCCAGACCACCATCTGTCAAACACACACAACACACAAGATTACAATTTATTACAAATTACAACATTTAAAATAATATTAGTATACCAATAGGCAACCTATGACTAGAGTCAGACAGAATCTGCAAGAGATTTTTGCTATTTCTGCAGAGAATTTAGTAAAAAATCTGCAGATTTATGCGGAATGATTTTAGGAGTATTATCACTAAAAACTTAATTGATGAAATAAATTATACATTTTAACTTTTATTTAATGTTTACAATGCAAAACCAAATACATCCATTTTTGGTAAACAAAGCAAGTCATTCATTTTCTTGCCGGCTTAGTCCCTTTATTAATTCAGGGTCGCCACAGCGGAATGAATCGCCAACTTATCCAGCAAGTTTTTACGCAGCGGATGCCCTTCCAGCCGCAACCCATCTCTGGGAAAACAATAATATTAATTGAAATTCATTTAAAAACGGAATAAATATGAATTCACACATTTACCCAAGTAAATACAAAGACAAAGATGGGTTAAAAATGAGCGAAAATCTGCGGATTTCTGAGCGCGTAGATTTCGTGTGGGCCTACCCATGACTGATCAGTTATTTACGAAGTGATGAAGTAGGTAGTGCTGTTGCCTCACAGCAAGAAGGTCGCAGGCTCGAGCCTCGGCTGGGTCAGTTGGCGTTTCTGTGTGGAGTTTGCATGTTCTCTCTGCGTTTGCATGGGTTTCCTCCGGGTGCTCCGGTTTCCCCCCACAGTCCAAAGACATGCAGGTGAATTGGGTAGGCTAAATTGCCCATAGTGTATGAGCCTAAATGAAAGTCTGTGGATGTTTCCCAGAGATGGGTTGCGGCTGGAAGGGCATCGGCAGCGAAAAAACGTGCTGGATAAGTTGGCAGTTCATTCCGCTGTGGCGACCCTGAATTAATAAAGGGACTAAGCCCAAAAGTAAATGATGAATAAATAAATATAAATAAATAAATATATATATATATATATATATATATTATATATGTGTGTGTGTGTGTGTGTGCGTGTGTTTGTTAGTGTGTTTTTTTTCCCAATGAAAAAATTTTTTCCCAATCAAACTTTTGTACAGTATTATATGGTCTTACCCTACCCCTAAACCCAACACACAAAGGCATGCCCTTATAAACCCTCCTAATAGAGTACAACTAGGTCATACTCATGTCATCATATAATCTTGTGTTTACGTAAACCATATAAAAAAAAGTACACACAAACACACAAAGTCTGGTAGAACTTCTTTCCTGCTCCGGAAATAGGAAATTACACAAAGCAGTAGACATATTGTATAAGCCCACCACTGGCCACATGAAAAATCTAATTCCATGTCTATGATATCAAAGTTGACTCTGAGCAGATGTAAACTAAACAGAAGTCCCAGTCATTTAAAAGCATAATTTGAAATTGCACTCTGAACATTTCTTTTGAAATCAGATTGACAAAGCTTTTTTTTTAACGACTCAAACTGTCATACCCACAAACCACTGGCGAAACATCTGAGGAACAAGGCACAAAATTGCAAACATTTAGGAGTTTCAAAGGAACCATGTGATGCCATTTATAACGCCCCTGATTGTGCAGCCAAACCCCCTTATTAAAGGTCCCGTGAAGTGCTGTGTAATATACATTTTTTTTCAATGTTTGACGTAACCTCAATCTGCTTGTTAAGTGAGATGTCACGTGATGCGGCATCCGGGTCCAAGCGCTCTATCAAACTGCATGTGGAGAGTCGTCAAAGGGCAATAATAAACAATCACAAACTAATATAAAACTTTAGAAAATCCCGCTTGCAATATATATATATATATATATATATATATATATATATATATATATATATATACACACACACACACACATATATATATATATATATATATATACAGTTAAAGTCAGAATTATTAGCCCCCTTTTGATTTGATTTGATTTTTTTAAATATTTGCTAAATTATTTTTAACAGAGCAAGGAAATTTTTTTACATTATGTCTGATAATATTTATTCTTCTGGAGAAAGTCTTAACTGTTTTATTTCGGCTAGAATAAAAGCAGTTATTCATTTTTTAAAAACCATTTTTGGGACTAAATTATGAGCCCCTTTAAGCTATTTTTTTTTCGATAATCTACAGAACAAACCATCGTTATACAATAAAATGCCTAATTACCATAACCTGCCTAGTTCACCTTATTAACCTAGTTAAGCCTTTAAATGTCACTTTAAGCTGTATAGAAGTGTCTTGAAAAATATCAAGTAAAATATTATTTACTGTCATCATGTCAAAGATAAAATAATTCAGTTATTAGAGATGAGTTATTAAAACTATTATGCTTAGAAATGCGCTGAAACAATATTCCCTCCATTAAACAGAAATTGGTGAAAAAAATAAACAGGGGTGCTAATATTTCAGGGGGGCTAATAATTCTGACTTCAACTGTATATATACATGCCTAATATCTGATGGCCTGAAAGTGATTAATTTTTATATAAATTGATAAATTATGTGGTGCAGCAAGTCAAGAATAATTTATATAAATTTATAAATTTCACTTTAATGTGTGATAGGACTAAAAGGGGGTTATGAACTAATATTTTCTCAGTTCAAATGAGAGGCAGCTTGGACCCGGAAACAGTATTCCATACGTCACTTATACATCGCGACTTTACAAGCGGATTGAAACATGAAGAGAGGGAGGACACAGAGTAGCTCCTCACCTTTATAGTGTTTTGTTTTATCACCTCTCTGCCAATGAGAGTGCTTGAGCTCAAGCACATCAAATGAAGGGAGTGGGGCACGTCAGATAGTAGACAGCATTCGATTAGTCACGCTTTGATGAGAAACTGAAGTATGAGGTGACGTAAAAACATTTTATTTAGACAGAAGTGACAAACTGCAAGCTTTACATGTTTATATCATTTTAATATCTACGAATTTGCAAATTTTGTAACTGTTTTTTGTCACCTAAAAAACTGTATTTTAATTTCATGGGACCTTTTGACATTAAGTGTTTAGCAGCTAATGTCACCATGAAATCAAAATTTACTCTTTGTATTTTTATTATACCTGTCAACATTGGGATGTGAAAATTGGGATGTGAAAACCGTGAAACTGTGATTTTTTTTTTTAAGGTTATCATACTATCAGAATCTTATACCGGCCCATGCCTATTTGCATTGTACTGCCCTGTATTGTTCACTTTACATAGAGACAGCACAGCAGTCAAACAAATGTTGAAGTTCATATTAGTAGTTTGACAAAAATGTAGACTGAAGTATTTCCAATAAGACTTTGTTGCAAAAAACAAGTGTTGTCGATCAAAATCCCACAAGCCAAATCAAAGTTAAGCCCCAATGAGAGCTTTGTGTATCAAATGAAAATTTGCAAAGAATAAGTGAAACCAGTTGAATAACATTCACAAAACACACTCTCTCAGTTCAAAACTAGATTAAAGACCTATCTGTTTAGTAAAGCATACACTCAATGCATCACTTAGCAGGTTTCCACACAAGTTTCTACATTTAGTTTATATACACTATGAACAGCAGCTACGCTAATTATTCTCTTTATTCTCCATTTCCACCTGGGGATACTCATCCCGAGGTCCTCAGATTATGCGGAGTCACTGATTGGATCCCAGATCAGCGACAAGATGATCCCAAGGTGTCCCTATCCGGGACCAGGCCATATCCTGAGCTGCTGGTGTGCTGTTGGTCATAGGGGAGTGGAGAGCATGAGACTGATTCCAGTGACGCTCCAGGGACAGACGAGTCTTCGCTGAGGCCATCTTCCAGCCTCCACTGCTGAGACTGCAGCTCTGCACAAGACTTTTGGCCAGCGGAGAAATTGAATTGGTCGTGCCGAACTGAGTCTGGTTCTCTCAAGGTTTTTTTTTTCTTCACTCTCCTATTGGTGAAGTTTTTTTTCCCTCTCCGCTGTCGCCACTGGCTTGCATGGTTCAGGATCTGAAAAGCTACTCATCTTTGAATTTGCTCTTCAGTGTTTGGACTCGCAGTAATGATTTCAAACCACACTGAACTGAGCTAAACTGAACTGAACTTAAACATTAAAAACTGAACTACCCTGATCCAGTTACTATGACCATTTATGTGCAGCTGCTTTGACACAATCTACATTGTAAAAGCGCTATACAAATAAAGCTGAATTGAATTGAAAAATTTTTATGAAAACCGTTGGATAAAGAATAAAGCTTATTGGAACTTCATTTTGATTGTTTGTCATCTTTTGTAATGGTGTATTTCTCTATGTAACTTTCGTTGTATTAAGCTATGCTCATTTTCATTGTGACAACTATAATTCCATATATTCACATGTATTTTTAAAACAAGCTAAAAGACTAGATGATAGCTTCGCATACAAATGCTGCAGGAACAAAAACACCAATTGTGTTCTGCAAATAAACATTGTGGCAAATCTCTTGCAAACAATTCCCACAACAAATCAAACTTCTGAATGGTGCCCTGTGTGCTAATCAGCACGGCCCTTAATAATAACCTTCCATCAGTCACAGACTAAATGATTGTCATCAGTGAGAAATGACAGGTTTTCCTCCTCCGGCTCTGAGGGAAAACAGAAGCCGTACGGTTTGATGCATTATAATAGTTTGAGGCACACTGAGATTCAAACTGCTGAGCGACAGTTATGCCTGGTATGCACCACTCAATTTTAGAAACGGCTTTCATTTCGACAACAGCTTTCTGAGGCTAACTGGTTCTGGTTCATGTGAGTGATCATCGAATAGTATGAATTATTAATTATGCTAATTACATATATGACATATAAGTTCATATTTAGATTTCACATATATAAATATAAGTCATATATGCAAAATATATTTCAAAATATTGCAAAAATATCCATTTACATATATATATTTTTAACCAACGGATTTACATATACAGTCAAGCCCAAAATAATTATTACCCCTGGGTATATATTATATATTAATATTATATATGATATATTTGAACACATATGCACATATTT